TTTTTTTATTCTTCAGCGAAAGACAAAGCCGCGAAAAGGCAAGACGAAAAGATATAACTAATCTTTCTGTTGCATAACAAGAATACCGCCGTACCAAGCGAGCGCGCGATACGAGAATTCTTCGTTTCGTCCTTCGAAAAAACATGTTCTAAAGAGAAAACATGTGAGAATTGTTTCTGCTGAAACGCGTGATTTTCGTGCGACAGGCACATTAGAAAAATCAGAATTTCTTGGGAAGGTAAAAATTGTAAAAATTATTGCGTGAAACTTTATATTTTATAATTTAATTTGAATTAATTGGAAATTAATTGTTATTTGATTTAATTTGAAATAATTGGAAATATATTGTTGGAAATATATATTGTTATTTGATTTAATTTGAAATAATTGGAAATATAATTTAAAAATTCACAGAATTCAATTTATGTCGTATTTTGTATTTTAGTTTCTCAACTAAGATATTTGCAAAGATTAACTTATTTTCGCTAAGATATTTATGTTGCGCATTTGACAGTTTTAATAGCAAAATCTTCAATGCAGTTTCGTTGCAAAAATTTTATAGGAGCGACAAAGAAAAAATTAAAAATCAATATTTAATTAAATTACCAATGTAGTAACTCCACGATTCCGTCCAAGCTTAGAACGGCACCCACGTGGCGTTTCAAGTATCGTATCAAGGAGTGTATCTATATGTATTGATCAAAAAAATCGGCAGCTTTGGAATGCGTAATTAATCGTCATACTACGTGTGGTAAATACCTATAACTGAATTCCCACTTTTGTATATCGGTAGCACAGAAACACGGTTTGCATGACCCTGACTTACTTGAACACGATTCGGCCACCAAAGTGTAATACCACGAAAGCAGAATACCCACCCTAACCAGTTCCCAACGGCCTTCAACTCTGCTTTAACCGCGAATCTCGTTGTATTTCTTCTTGCAAACAAATGGCACTACGGAGAGAACCTATCTACACTTTCAATCGTCCTTCCCTGTGTAACCTATAAATTTCACAATATGTCAACAAGGATTTACTACCGACGGTAAGCATTAGGATTCCTGCCGATATCTAACATGATCAGTCAGTTTTTAGTGACTTTCCGATTTTTATCAATACTCGTCGTCTTATAGAACGAACAAATTATATAATAAACTTAAATCATTTGTTCAGAAATAAATTTGTAAATGAAAGGTTTATCTGGTTTCAAGTATTATTGCCTGAATTAATCGTGATGCAAGTTTAGACGAATTTTTAAATATTCAGACAGATACTTCTGAGTGACAGCGTGTTTTACAATGTAAAACTTTTATAAACGCAATGAAACACACCTGATATTTGTGACAAATAGTATGCCTTCCTCGGCGATAAAAGGACAATATTTTGTCACCAAATGTGTAAAAAAGAATACGTAACAGGATCTTGGACCGCGGGATTTTAGAACGTCGCTTTCGATCATTGATCACAAGGAAGAGAAACAAAAAAAAAAAAAAAAAAAAGGAAAAAGAAAAGGAAAGAGATATTCGAAAACGATTTCTATAAAACGTCGAATTAATCGACATCGTTTTCGATGAATCCGGCTGATCGAGAAAGCAGAAGTTGTTCCGCTGCTAATCGCCAGGTTCTACATCGGGTTTAATACCTCGGCCGACGAGGCTTCCTTCTTTTTATTCCGCGGGGCTACATAAAAATTGCGCTCAAACGCATTCCCAGAAGTCGCAGTAAAATAAGCTAATTTTCCGTATCTCGTTTTTTTTTTTTTTTTTATCCATTTCCCGTCTGGGAAACCAGCTGATGCTAATGACGATCGTAAAACCGATCCACTACAAGCTTCGATGGCATTACGCATGTATACGATGTAACAAACTGTTATCTAGCATATAAATTTAGCTTAAAAGAAACATGGAGGGGGAAAGAGAAAGAGAAAGAAAGAGAGAGAGAGAGAGGCGTGCATAGACTTGAAATAAATTGGAGTGCAAACTTGCACCACGATGAGGTCAGGGTTCGATAAATTACATACTTGGACGCCATTCAAAATTTTCTTTCCTTAGCGTTTTTCTTCTTTTTATTTATTTATTTTTTTCTTTCCCTTGCTTGGTTTTCTTTTCGACACGCTGCTAGAAACTGAACACTTTATTGGTCTTATGTCACTCAATGACAATGTCGCAGTGTTAAAATATCTATTCTTGTATGTAAATTCCTCGATCGATTGTGTTTCTGATGTTTTAACTGCTTTTTGCTAAGAAAGATAGACTACCAGGAAAATCGTACGTCGGTTACATATTCATGATTATTCATGAGATCGAATAAATCTTACGTCTTCGTATATATCTGGTGCTGTTGGTAAGCCTTTAAGTTTAGAAATTTAAGTAAAATATATCTGATTATCCTGTCCTGACAGAGTATTGAACAATTGAATTGAATCACCTATAACTTGCCAATTCGCTAGTACTATTTTCATTAATAATCGCTTGATTAACAAATTATTGTGCAAGAGTACTCTGGCTTTAATCACGAGTATGATGCATTCGTACAAAAATAGAAGAGTGTCAAGCTAGTTCGCAAAAAGTAAAAAAATAACATGGCCACCAATACAAAAAAAGAAGGAAAACAACTCGCGGAGTAATAATTAATCGGCAAAACAAAGCGAAACAGTTGAGATATATTATACTGCTGGAAAACAAGATAATTGCATCTACTGAGGTGCAGATTTCTTGATTCGAAGTGTGCAGTCTCCTTTCGACAAAGACCACGATGTTTACTCCGATAGAAAAATGGGGAAAAAAAGAAGAAAAAAGAACGGGACTCGAGTTCTCTAACACAAAGTTCACCTTGATTTTTAAACAGCACAACTCCTTTTTCTATTCTATTTTTTTCCAAGTTTCTTTCGCGCTGTTTCTCAATGATGGTGCACAAATCGTTCAGAGCGAATCTAATAATTATTAACCAATGAACTCTTGCTTACCATTTACGGGTACGAATGACGCGCATTTAAATCAATTACAATCCTCAAGTTTTTT